TTACACAATGTGTGACTGAAAATTAAAATTTACAAGCGTATTTACAAAGTGTCTCCTAAAGTGAAATAAAGTGAAATAAAAAATTAACTTAATATATTACATAAAAATAATAAATGACAATAATGAAAAAGCATGAGATAAGAAAGCCATAAAAGTAATGAAAGAAAAAGTTTTGTAGGTGCTTCATTTGCAGCTAGTGCCAGAAAAATATCACAAAGAGGCCTCGTCGTGAAAGCCCAAAAAAACGTGCCATAGATATACAGACATATATATTATACGTAGAAAGAGGAAAAAAAAGGTAAAGTAAATGAAGCAAAATAAAATAAAAAGCCTACGTAGAGAAAAGAAACATGTTGGGCACAAATACGAGAAAAGAAAAAAGAAGAAAATCACTCCACAAACTGGAGCAGAGCTCTACCCTCAAAAAATCTGCGACTCTTCTGCGCCCTCTGCTACCATTCATTTATTCGCAACAACGAAAGAAAGAAGTAATAAAAAAAGATACACGACTGTAAAAAAAAAAAAGAACCCCCTCGGGAAAATATTCACTGGGAGCACGTGCACAAGAGGGGTAACTTTCAACTCGGTTTCATTCCTTTGTCAACGTGATTACTATCAACTGTACGTAAACAAAAATGAAACTACTGTAACTTTTACTGTTAATTTACGGTAATCCTAAATTTATCTGTAAATACAAGAAATTATGATAAAAAATCATAGTAGTTATCATGGCGTCTCAACAAAAATTACCATGCTAAAAATAGCTATGTTAAATGTGTGTGTTGGTTACCTCAGCAGGATCACAGGTCCTTCCTAATGTACACTGGTATCGGGTAATTTTATACTTCAATTATTTTATGTTTTATAAATTAGCCTAACAATAATACAGAAAACGTCCCCAAACGACAAGAGGCAAGAACTCTAAACTCCGTAATGTTCTCACGGATCTGTATTAGCTTATCATTTTTTTGTGAAATATTGACGAACGCGTTTATGTCTTAGTTTGAAAGCTCAAAAATAAATTAGAAATCTTGAAAATTGATAAATATGAAAAATTATAAATTACCGACGAGACCACGAAAAAATGTGGGACCCAGCCTTTGGCGTTAGAAAGCGTCGCGGGCACTGTTTTTTTTTTCTTCGATGGATATTTATGGAACACGTGTGCACGGGCCGCGGCCTCAGCTTTCGATGAGCGGCTGTTGTGTTGTTATCTTAAAGCGTTTACCATAAGTAATATTATCCGTGTGTGTATATATGTATATATAGTTTCCACACGTACGTGGTGGCGTCCAACGGCCGGTTGGCGTATCTAATTGGCCGAGCAGTTATATTTACTGTGAGTATTTGCAGAGTAACGTTACGTGTAGCTGCTCTTTGGACTTCGAAGACGAAAAAAAATTTAAAAAAGCGGGAGAGAACATAACGAGTTCTTCGTTTTTATGCTTGGAGGCAAATTGCACTACTGCTCCTTCCCCCCATCCCCCTCTCGTGTACTCGTAGTACACGCGAACTAGCTCTTTTTTATAAGTAACGAGGAGGAAAAAAAAATTGTGTACAAAATCAAATTACTTACTCCCAAAGTGTCTCCACTGAAATTATTTTTCCTTTTATTTATTTATCTATT